TTTTTCTTAACTTTGTTTTATGTGCAACATTTTAGCCAGCCTCTGTAACAAATCTCATCAATGAAAATGCATTGAAAAAATTGGAAAATCAAGCAAAAAACTTGGATTCTATTTACATACAAGTGAGTCAGGTTAATGTTTGAAACACCATAGCATAGGTACGTTAGAGAATAAAATACCTAACATTCTAAACACATTCGGAGGTAGAAGCGTCAGCGTCGTAGACGTAGCTGCGTAGGTAACATAGGTTCTTATTATGAATATGAGGATCAAAATAAACTGGGTGATATCATCTTTTTTAGGATGAAGATGACGACTGTTCGGTATACAAGCGGTTGACGAGGAAGTGCCACTGCTTGAACCATCATGGATACAACGACTTCATGATACATTTCAACGAGGACACTAAATACCGTACGAGCGTTGCCGGTGAATTAATTAAGAACATGCGAATACTCAAAAAATTCTTATACATGAATGGAGATTATACAATGAATGCACTATTATTTTTAAACGAGGTAAGTTTTAATATTCTTATATTTTATTATTGAATACCTATATAACTTATGTCACTACCTATATATAGGTAGGTAATAAATTCGAATGTTCACCTTCTTAGGGTCTTGCTGGTAGCACACACACTGAAAAAGTAGAAATCATCCAAGCTTGTGCTCACGCTGATATTTGCAATGTTTTCGAAGATCATTCTATAGTTGTAACATATATTTCATGGCCATTCAAATATGTGTATTATGGGGACAACGTAACTCAGGTTAGTAGCGAGTAATCTCGCACTTACATACAAAAATACCTCTAAAGAATAGAAAGTGTAAATAGGGAATGAAATACTTAAAATGAGAAACCGTATTCCAGGCATTAACAGCAAGTTTTTTAAACAAAATGGCACAACTGGAAGAAGGACGACGTTATTTGAATTACAGTTCAAAGATAACAAACGACCTGAAAAGAGTCATACGAAAGAAATCGGCGGTTTTAGAAATAGAAACAGTAGAATCACTGAATACAACGTTGAATCTACTGAATCCACCTCTGACGCAAAATATGAATATAACATACTACTACAAACCGATTGATGAAGGTAAACTGAAGTTTATAAACAATTAATCATGACTCAAAGAGAACTTACTTTGAAACCTCGCATTTAAACAAAGTAAACTTTACTGCCGATGTGTGTGAAACGTGAAAAGATAATACCGATGTAGGTATAATACCGTCTATTTCAACAGTATTTAGCTCCTAAGAGTTGACTTTGTGATATTTGTGTAGGTACACCAACTATTAAATAATTAACGATTAAATGAATTCTAAAAAATAGTCACAAACATATTTATTTGTAGGAATGGGAAAAAGAACTTTGAGTGCCCTGGTGGATTACCACCAAAACATGACTTTGGACGAAGTTTTTGCTCATTTAAACGTAATACTAGATCTAAGTAACAGAGATACTGGTAAATTCGAACTAACATCAAGCTTGCATCTTTTGCTGTTATTATTCAAACGACTACTCATAGAATACGATAACAGTGGAATGAATATAATTTTGACTAAAATTTTAACGAATATCTTAACAAAAAATAAAGTCAAACAAATGAACGAAGGGAAAACACCAAAAGCACTAATAATAGCAGATGTTGCAACTGAGGTATGACTTTACCTACATTAAAAAACATTACGCTCGTATGGTACCTACCTTTATTAATTCTTATCATTGGTAAAGATTAGATATCTTTTTTAATATCTGAATGTCTTTACTTTTCAGCCAATACAAATGAAAAATGAAATGAATCAGCATCCACCCCGAAAACCAAATATAAGAAAAAGTAACAAGTCGAAATTAGGCCTATCGCCTAACAAACTCCGTAATACAACAAAACAAAGAGGTAGATACTAAATTGTTTTCATTTTCGTATTTTTTTTTTCATCTAGTTACGCCCAGCTATGCTCAGTCAAAGCTAAATTACAAAACTTATTAAAGTTGGCCGCTTCAAAATTAGCACATCAATTTTGCGCCACTTGTTGTATTTCATCATGCATTCATCAACATTATCAACATATCCGTATGACGTCCACTGCAGAGCATAGGCCGCCATCAAAGAACTAGTTCCTTTGGATCCATACCGATCGGTCCTACGCTGTCCGCATCCAGCAGTTTCGCGCCCACTTATCAAAAATCGTCGGTCCTCCTGGCTCGTGGGGACTTACCTACTGAGCATCGCCCTGTGCGCGGTCGCCATTGGAATACCCGCTCCAAAGATCCTCTCGGAATACGGTTCTCCTCTACATGTACCGGCCACTGCTACTGCGAGCAATCCTTTGAACGAGCTTTACTTTAATTTCTGATTCTATCATAGATGATATAGATTTTAATCTGCAAACAAATGTCCTTCATCCCTCTCTCGATTGGTCGCTGTGTGACTGAGCTTTCTTTTGAGATCCTTAAAAAGTTATAGACCACAATTCGCTTCTGTAGGTCATAATTGCAACCCCGAGTGGTCAGACTTTTACGGGTACTCTGGAGGCAAATCTTTAGCGTAGTTTACCGAGCGCTGATCATCTGAATTGGATCCGACAAATGATTTCTTTCTCGAAGTGATTGAAGGGCAGTGAATGAGCTGTTCGTCCCTGGTATGTGTACCTAGTGGTCAAGAACTGATAGTGTGTGTTCCCAATTTGTGTTCCAAAAACGGAGCGGATACTAATATAATTCCTTCTCATTCTTTTTTATTCATTTATAATCAGACATCGTGGCCCCATAGATAAATACCATTTAAGTTAGGTAGTGAATATAATTAGTAAGTAAACACCTGAATAACATGTAAAGACGGCGACGAAGTGGGGTCTGGTAACAGACCTCGGAACTGCCGGAACAACACCTTTCGGCCGTAGATCTTCCTTCATGAAGGTCGAGAGGTGTTCGGTCGGCAACCCCACACAAATGAATTAAAATTGACATTGTGACTGGACTCCAACCATGTAACTCTCAGGGAGAACTTTGTCTTAATTCGCAGGTAGTCTACGACCTCCTCGTAGAGTAATGCTGTCGGGACGTACAGTGGCGGCGTTGGTATTATTCTTCGATCAACAATACTGATATAACATTAAGAATTCTTGATCGAAGGAATTATTACAGGACGCTGCTGGTGGTTCGGTCCGGTCGGGGTCAAGCCAATGCTAAGCTCGTCGATGGTGTCGATGGCTTTTTGAATAAACGCCAACAACTCTTTAGCTATGAGTAGTTCGGTGCACAACGGCTGTTGCCGCGTGTGAGACGTGAACGTGAATAACCAATAATCACTGCACGACTGCTTCCAAGCGCGCATAGCATAGCACTACACTGATTTTAATTTAAGACCCACTCTGAAGACTTGAATCTAATATTTTTATTTCAGCATAGATAATTGTACATCTATGGAATATAGTACACTTGCAGTCTAATGATCATATTTTTATTTAGTTTCAGATCGTCATGTAACAGGAAATAAATGCATGGATCCATCTGGTATAATAAATAGATCCAGAAAATTTAACAAAGGTATAAATCAAAACACAGGATTCACAATTTATGTTATGTACTGGGGGTCAATCGCCAAAGGTGTTCAAATGCCCTGCACTCTTTTTTTTCTTTTGTATTAGTAACAACAATATAAGAACGAAAAGCGTAAGGTATTTGAAAACTTCCGGCGGTCAGAAATAACAAAATATAATCGTAAGCGTTATTAGCCATAGCAATCCCGTTAAGCGAATGGCCAACAGTATATTTGTTATTCCGAATCAGAGAAGATAGGTAGCCCCAATCAATTATAAACCAAATATAGTTTGATATTAAGTTCTAATAAAAATATTTGGCAATATAGTAATTGACCCCAGTACTGTGCTAGATTTAACTTTAACAAAGGTTTAACATGTATGACATGGGGGCTTGTAAAAAAAAACTATATTTGAAATATATCATCATACTATTACATTGAACTGATATTAGAAAATAATGGTTTCCCTAAATCAAATTTAAGGTATCATGGTAAGAGTTGAAAGTAGATATGCTGATGTCTGTACAAGTAAAAAATTACACAGTTCCTTTTTTTACTATACCAATTTAATAAAAATTATATAAAGTGATGTCCTACTTTCAATAAAAATGCCATCCCAATTTAATTCCAAGTCAGTCTGAATTTTAATTGATATCTACAGAGTTACATTCTGTACCTATGCTCTGGATGCCGCAACTTTTGAGTAATTTGTAAAAAAAATCATGGATTTCATGGCAAAATTATTATTGTCGGTATAAAAAGTGGCACTCGAGAGTGGAGGCATGGAACAAACTGTGCAGCATTTAAAAGCACAATCTATGAGATCAGTTTTAATTAAGTCACATTCCAATAATTCCACACCAATACATTCCACAGCCTCAAGTAGCGAAATATCTATCCTTATCATATAGGTATGAAACATAATCTGTTATATTTTCAGAGAAGATAAGAAGTTCTGTAATAGTGGTCCCTATACAAAAATAGAACAAGAAAACTTAAATAAAGCTACTTAATTACAATTCTCAAAAGAAACAATTATATCAAAGTAAAAAATGTATGTATAATTTGTTATATAAATAAAAATAAAAGCAGCCTTTTAACTTTCAACACCAATATACCTAACACCAAAGCTAAAAACAAATGTATCAAAACAAGTGATGTATTTGTAAATGCATTATTTATAATCAATTTATAAGTAAAGTGGCATAGAAATGTATTTGAAATAGATAAATCAGTAATTTTAATAACCTAAATTAGTATTATCACATTTATATCTATATACATTCGATTCTCCACTTAAATAGGTACTTTGCTTTAATTGCTAATGTTAGTTCCACCATGAGATCTAAAATTATATAAATAACTTTGACGTTGAAAATGGAAATAAAACACTATATTTCATAAATTTATCTAACTGTAGAATGGTCAAGTTGCAGTCCCAATTATAACATGTTAATCAAATTGTTTATGGTCATAGTTTGATATTGGAGGGCCCTGATGATTATAATGTACAAGATTTCTACTGTGTGGAGGTGAATTACTTGGTTTAAAAAACATTGCTAATAGAATGTAAAAGCCTCCAATAATCTTACTAAAGAAATCTAAAAGCCCCAGAAACATAGGTGTGGAATTCTTTATGAGAATTGACATCTCTCTTATTAAAGCCAATATAAAATTACCTAGGAAATTAACAAATGTTGAAGTTCCTGTGAAAACCGCAATCACGAGTGCACACAAAAAGGTTAAGAATTCTTTGACATTACGTATTGATAGAGCATCCTTAAAGATAGCAACAATATTGTTGTAAGAATCATTTAGTGTTTCTACATTGCCATAAGGTAGGGCATTTGCAGATTCTTTACTTTTCAGAGGCCCTATGCCAGTAAGTATTGGTTCAATTTCCAAATATGATTCCGATATATAGCGCACACATTTTACTGAAACCATTGTTTCTTCTGGTCTGAACTTTATACTTTTTATTTGGAACCAGAAGGGTCCGAAAGGTTCATTTTCGATTTCAGTCCAAATACAGAGACCAGACGCATTTATTCCCAGGGTTTCAGCATCAATTATACCAATACACTTTTGGTTTGAAGATGCGACCTCAAACTTATGTTGCACATCATACAAATCTTTCTTCAACTCAACTTCAGCAGCACTCAGCAACACAATATCTCGGTAACCAATACGCTGATTAATTAGGCGACGCTCTACATAACGACCCAAAAATATCCTTGATCGTAACAAATCCTTAGCGAAGTTTTTTATTTTCGCTGTTTCTACGTCATCTGTGCTATCGAAATGCGATGAACATCCCGAAGAATTGAAAGAAGGATTTCGTATTGCAGTGCCCATGCCGTTAAGATGTTAAAAAATATATTAAAATAAAACAAACACGCCCTTTAAATTAAATACAATACGATATACTGAATTTGACATATTGACTTGACGTCAACAAACTAGGGATGCGAAATTGCGAAATGCGATTTAACTTCAATCGATATATCGAATATTTATATTGGCCGAGAATATCGATATCAAATTTTTTATTTATTTATCTATCTCGTAAACTACTGGAACGAGGGATGAAAAGAGTTAGTTCATACACATAAAATGTGTAACTGAACTAAACAGTGCATTGCGCACGCAGCCAACATTTACATTAAATATCGATACAAGAGCTTCAAAACACTGTCATCATCATCAAAAAAAGTTGCTTAGAATTTGCCTCAAAGGGATTGGCGTAACATAGACATATGACTCACGCACCGGGACAAAACAAATCTGTTAAGTATACCTACTTCCTACATTTTTATAACTTGTTAGTTACTTAAACGTATTTCTTAAATAAGAAGACATTTATGATTTTTATAATGCGATTCAAATAAGAATAGGACATACTGGTCACTGGGAGCCATATTGAGACGTCATAGCTGTCAATTCAAATCAAACATGTAAATTTGGCAAAAAAATTTTTTTAATAAAAATTATTTACTTAGATTGAGAAAAAAAAACAACCGATTTTTTATAATATTTATTTATGAAGACTGTGTAAGAAAAAGCCATTAATCAGAATCTAGCTCTTCAATTCCGCTCAGCTCTATATTACCGCCGGAGTAGTTATAAATAATCATGCACTATTACTAGGTCATATACGAATACGAACATACATCCTTTATTTAAACGAAAGTTTTAAATCGAGTTTCTGAACGCAACTTAGTGACATTTAGTTGATGATTTAGGTTATCAACAATTCATAGCCAAAGCGCAATAAATGAAAAATGTATTAAAACCAATATTAATAAATAATATTGTTGACAAATGTTCGGTTTTTATTCTAGAATTAGCAGAATGCTAAAAAAGGTTTCCAAGATTTTTTTGCAAACCGTACTTTACAAGCGACATTTGACAGATGGAGGTCATTAGCTTTCCTATTCTTATTTGAATCGCATTAGACCAGTATTAATAAAAAATGGGTGCGTGTACTTATGTAGGCGCGTGAGAAGTTATCCTTCTTTGGCATCGTTTAAAATTAGTTTTTAATTGCATGCAAATAATTAATTACAATAAATTAATAAAAAGTCTGGAAAAGGACACAGTCAATAAATTTCAGTTTTAATTTGAAAAGATAAATAAGTAATCAAAATATTCAATTAAAATCGCTACTGAATATAATTTATTAGAACATATGTGATTTGCACTTGTATGAAACTCAAACACGTATTCCGAATATACAAACTAGAAACATGTGGATAAATATTATAAATATGAATACCTATAACTGTTACTTTATTACAAAAAATAAAGATGTGGTTTTTGGTTCTACTACACCAATGGTCAAGAGATGGCGCTGTAGTCTCCTGAATCGCGCTTTGGTTCCATTGTACCAGATTAATAAATACTTTTGATATTATAAATATGAATACCTGTAACTGTTACTTTATTACAAAAAATAAAGATGTGGTTTTTGGTTCTACTACACCAATGGTCAAGAGATGGCGCTGTAGTCTCCTGAATCGCGCCTTGGTTCCGTTGTTCCAGATTAATAAATACTTTTGATAGGCCTTCACAATGCAGTCGTTAGCACCCACTAAATAGAGATTCTATTTCTATTTTGTTAGTAGATTTTCTTAATGTGCGGTAAACACAAAAGTAACAGCATGAAGTTGGTCACCAAATTTTGTGTTACAGTGATGCGCGCGCATCTTAAAATTTCACTCTCATCATTTTTTCATAACGCGCCTAAAGAAGTATAACTTCAAAATAATCTTGGTATAAACGCTCCATAAACACTTAAATTAATCACTTCCCCCCTTATTAATAAACGAAGAATAAGCTTAGACTAGTTACGTCGTGTATTGTTCATATCCCTTTTACGTATATAGCCCTGTCTCGCACGCTAGATCCAGCAGAATGAATAAGTACGTAGAGCTCTATATTCAGAGGTTCTGGGTTCAAAACCTTTATATAATTTCTATGCTGACTCGACTTTCCATCCTCATATCGACGGGTGCAAAGTAAAAACAGACATCTGCAAAATAGCAACTTTACAGGAGAGCGAAAAGTGTGTTATTTTTCTAATGAGTGAACCATTAGTTCTGAAAATTTTATCGTTATCTATTTATACTCTTGTATTAATATTATTAATATTTGTATATTAAGCTAGTTTAGCTAATTTCTTGATAATTTACGAGATTTTGCAGATAGCCGTTGCTAGCAACTGAGTCAACTACCAGTTGGTTGTCTATGCTCTGTCTAGTTATACATACCATCCGTATATATACATAACGTCCGTCCGTATAGTTATAAATAGCAGCCTCAGTATCACGGCTATTATATTTTGTTAGTTTTAAAAGCCCAACCGTTTCCTTGATGTCCAGTTGTTTTCTTATTCTTCCTAATTGCACCATCAGTTTGCGTCGTTCTTTATTCATTTTGAAATTGTAAGGAGTAATGCAAATAGAGAATAGAATAACACCTCGAAATTGCTGCCGTTAAAGAAAAACTTTTCTTAACCTAAAAGGTACGCGCGCGCCAGTGACAAATGAGCCAACTGCCTGATGTCATTTTACGCGTGCTCGGAGCCCGCCTCGCGCCCCGTGTTGAAACGACCAACGTTACTTGGTCGCATTGACTTCATACTATTTGCAAAAACATGCGTAGATGGCTTTTTATACGTTCGAAAATTTATTGAAATAAAGTGAAATCTGCAAAACAAAATATGTCAGGTTGTGGCGTTTTGTTTGATTAGTACGAAAATGAAATAAAAAGAAAAACGTGAATTTGTAGTTGACTTTATATACTTTGCACCCGTCGATATATCCAATTCCAAACCTGCATAAACGATCATGATAATTCTTTAGGCATTGTCCTAATACAACGCGATAACGCGATCATCGCGCGTTTAAACGATGCGACCATCGCGTGATCGCTAACTGGGTATCCTAATAGAACGCGAATACGCGATCACGATTGACACACAGTTTGGTCGGGTTAGCAGTGACCCTCTCCCCGCTTCCTATCAACGCGACGCGATCATCGGGCGAACTTCAGTTAGGACATTTATTCATCATTATTAGTTTTGATTGCGCGTTCGCGCGAACTAAGTTCCCGCGAATAGATTTTTAAACATTTTAGTCGCGCGAATGCATCTCGCGTTCGCCTATTAGGACACCTATTCTAGATCAATATGTTTAATCGTCGACTCGTACGATGATCGCATCGCTCATTCGCGTTATCGCGTTGTATTAGGACAATGCCTTATGCTATTAAAATAAAACTAGTATGATTTATTGAATGTTGGGTATTTATAGGATAAAGGACTATAGGCAAAAATGTATGTACGTCGCCGTCTCTTATCCTCGCGGTCTGTACCGGATACATTACTAACAGCGCAATTCAGAATTGTGCGTAAATTCAAAAAATTAAGGTCTTTATTCTTCCGCATAAAACAATAAGTCGTTAAATTTTACAAGCTTGCATTTCGAACTGTCTAGTCTTTGACGCATGCGCTTTAATTAAGACCTTATGCAGTATGTATTAAAGGTGACTTTCAATGTTTAAATAATGCATTATATTGTTTTTGACCACGTGATTATCTTACGGAGCTCCGTGGTCCAATGTATACCTTTTGGACACGTTTAATTAGATTTAAAAAAAGATAATTTCTTTATTTTGTTTATTTATTTTTATTTGATTTTACGTAAATTAATTTTAATTATCTTACAACTTTAAATTGAAAATTTGTTTATTTTTAATAACTCTCTTTTATATGGCATATTCACAAAATATTGAGAGAAAATCAAGGAACTTACTTGTATATACTAACTTGAATGCTTACGAAACAATATGGGAATTCAAAAAATGTGCTCTAACTAGTTATACATAAAGTCCATTTTTGTTTTTATAAGGGGGAAAAACGCGACAACGGCGAAAGTGGAATCTGCCCCTCTCTTGCAACTGTTTGGGCACACTAGGTACTAGAACGAGACAGATTCCACCAATTCAGCTATGCTCTTGGAACGATTTTGTGGGTCGCGTAAGCATTCCAGTTAGTATATAACTTCCTTGGAGAAAATACAATATTTTATTTTTAGTGTCTCATGTATAAATCATGAAAAGGATAAGTTTTTGTATGGTGTCTTATGTTTGCAACATTTGAAAGTTAATTGCAACGATATTAGGCTATTTAATATCGTTGGTTAAATAAGACAACAAAAAAATAGAAGTATTTAATTTTGTCAAGTCGTGATTTTCGATCCTAAGTTAAATTCAAACCCCCTCATTAATAAACAAGGAATAAGCTTAGACTAGTTACGCCGTGTTTTGTTCACGTCACTCAAAGCCATTTGTCATTCAATAGACAGAGACAAAACATGGAGTAACTTATACAAGCGTAGTATTTGTTTATTTCTAACCCCCTTAGGCCGTATACAGAAAGAAAGCCGAAAGCCGATCGGCGCATATCGGCGCCGATCCTTCCTACATAAAGGAAGCCGATTAAAGCAGATCAAGCAAAATGTCGGACTCATCGGACGATGATTTGGTTTTGTTAGAAAATGTTTATTTAAAAATGCGAAAAACAGCTATACATCCTATAAATAGAGAAAGGAAACGTTTCGGAGAATACCATCATTTATTTGTAAAAAAAAAAAAATTGATGAACAAAGATTTTATACATATACAAGAATAATTCAAGAAACATTTTATTACATTTTGGATTTAGTGAAAAACCGTTTGATGAAAAATTGGGCCAATTGGCATAAACAACCAATCCTTCCAGAAGAAAGACTTGTTGTCACCATTCGGTAAGTACGAAACAAATAATTTTAGCGTTTAGTTAATAAAAGATAAAG